ACAAGAAGTAAACAAAAAAAAATAAAGGAAAAAAAAAAACGAAAAAGAAAACAAAGACAAGAAGTTAAGCAGAAAAAGCAGTAGAAGAAGAAGAAGAAGAAGAAGAAGAGAAAGGAGGAGAACAAGGAGGAGGAGGAAGAGGAGAAAAGGAGCAGGAGGCAGAGGAGGAGGAGGGAGAGGAGAAGGAAACAAGGAGGAAGAGGAGGGGGGAACCGAGGAGGAGAAAAGGAAGGAGGTGATCAAGGAGGAGGAGGAGGAGGAGGAGGGGGAGGACAGGATGTCGAAGAGGAGCAGGAGAGCAAGGACAAGAGGTTGAAGAGGAGGAGAAGAGAAAAGGAGAAGAGGAGGAGGAGGAGAACAAGGAGGAGTAAAGGAGGAGCAAGAGCCGTAGGAGAAAAGGAGGAGGAGGTGGTGTGGCCATACAGATCTTCTCCTCCTCTTCTACTCCTCCTCCTCCTTTTCTACCTCGGTGAACCCGAGGTAGAAAGGGAGGAGAGGGCTTGCCGGTGCCAGTGAGAAGCAACGGGACTGCTGCCCCCAGAATAGACTGTTTTTCTTTGCTTGTGATGTTAAAAAAAAAAGCAAAAAAAAAAAAAAAAAAAAAAAAGAAAAAAAAAAAAGCGCGGAGAACTGTTACGAACTGTTTTGTCCAAGTTCACGGACTCATTCAGGAGGCTCAACCCTAACGATCTGTATTTTGTATATGTATATATGTTTGACGATATATATCATATATATGAGGATATGTTTATTTCTGTATTGTGGGTCGATATGACACACGGGGGTGGGGGCAGTCGCCGCTCAACCTACATCCACGTGGGCGGCCTTGTACGCAAAAGGTTCTGAACAGGGGGAGTTGTGTAAGGAAGAAGAAAAAAAACGAATCCATTTTTTCCTTTTTTCTTTTTTTCGCTTTTGCGCCCTCATATTCATGTGACAATATATGTAAGTTTGGGAAATTTGACGATATATATGTTGTCCTCTTCTCTCTCTCTGCCTACGGTTTGCTGGGCAGTTCTGTTTGTGACGATATATATCGTCACGAACAGAACTGCCTGGTAAACCGTAGGCAGAGAGAGAGAAGAGGACAACAAACGAGGGGCTATATATATATGCATACAGTGTGACAATATATATGGAAATCGGAGCGCAAAGGCGGAAAAAGAGAAAACAAGAAAAAGAAAAAGAAGTGAGGAAGGAAAGCCCCACCTGTTCGTCACCTCCTACGTACAAGGCCAGCCACGTGGATGACAGGTTGAGCGCTGGCTGCCCCCATCCCCGTGTGTCACAAAGTCTCTACATCGTAGGCAGAGAGGGAGGGAGAAGCGGACAACAAACGAGGGGCTGTGATAAACTATTTCGTCGGATTTTTTTTTATTTTTCACCGAATCATCAGTAGGCTGAAAATGTAGGTGGTCCCCCCCGCCCCCCGCCCCGCCAGAAAAAAAAAAAAGAAGAGAAAAGTAGGTGTACATGCAGAAAGGAAAACGAAAAAAGTTACTTGTTAAAAAAAAAAGAGCTGTGACACGGTACAGGATCTGTTGAGCGCTGTCCTCGAGAAGTCTGCTCACACCTCTTCAGCCTCTGTCTGACCACCAGATAGAGGCTTGATTACAACCGAGTTTTATTTATTTATTTATTTTAATTATAGTATTATTATTACACCGCTGTGCTCGAGAAGTCTGCTCACACTTCTTCAGCCGCTGTCTGACCACCAGATAGTGTTTTTTTTTTTTTTTTTTTTTTTTTTTTGTTCTTTTTTTTTTTTTTTTTTTTTTTTTTTTTTTTTTTTTTTTTTTTTTTTTAATTACAAACAAGGCTTGAGGTAAGGTACCCATTAGCAATCAACCCGCATAGAATGTTGGGACCCCCGTGAACAATGGGCCCAGCGCTTTTTTTTTTTTTTTTTTTTAATCAGTTAATTGCACTGATCCGAACAGAGTCATGGGCCCCTCTCTCTCTCCTGTGTCTAAAATCTGTGTCGCTTTTTTTTTTTTTTTTCAATTTTAATTGTGTGTCACTTCTTGGTCACGAACACTCCAGGGGCGTGCTCCCACTTCGGTCTTCACCCGAATAGAACGCCCCGGTCATTATAGCTGTATATGGGGCAACTTTCAGTCCGGATACAGCGATGATGACCGGGCGTTCTATTCGGGTGAAGACGGTAGCAAAGTGGAGTGGAGTAGGAGCCTGAATCTGGATGGGTTTTACGCTGAGATTCAGAAAGGGAGATCAGTCACGATTTTGTTTTCTGCGTTTCTCCACAAATGCGTCCACATTCGGGCGTTCAATCCAATCCTCTTTGCTACCGTCTTCACCCGAATAGAACGCCCGGTCATTATCACTGTATCTAGACTTAAAGTTGCTCCAAATACAGCTATAATGACCGGGCGTTCTATTCGGTTGAAGACGGTAGTGGGGACCACGCCCCACATCTGCTCCACGACCGGAGTTTTTTTTTTCTTTCTTTTTCCCCCTACCGAATCATTATCAGTAGTTGTTTTAACTCTATTTTAATTTAAAATTCAACCGTAATTGTGGTCTAAGTTTTTTCTCCATTTCTGGAAAGAAAATGTCGCGAGTTCTTTTCTCCATTTCTGGAAAGAAAAAGAGAAAGAAGAAGAAAAAAGGAAAAAAAAAAGAAAAAGAAATGATTGTTTTGGAAATTATGCGTTTTATTTTAATTATTGAAAATAGAATTGGCTGTTGTTGTGTTCATATCTTTTGTTTGTTTTGAACAGCACAAAGGAATCCCGCTGCACACGTGGCAGTGTGCGTCCGTACGATCGCGACTTGAGAGCAGGCGATACCGACTTGAGAGTTCCGCGGTCACAGAGACACCGACCGGCGCAAAAAGTTCTTATCCACCGTCTTATTCATTCTTATCTGCCATTCTCTTTTTTTTTTGTTTTTTGTTTTGTTTTGGGGAATATTCTTAATCTCGTTTAACCTTATCCATTCTTATCGGTTTTTTTTTTATAAATACCTTATCCATTCTCAGCCCCCCATCTTATCCATTCCTTCTTTTTTTCAATCCTTTCTTATCAGTCGGCTTGTCCATTTTTATCCCTTCTTATCCGTTTTATTTTTCCTCTTGCTGCTTCTCTCTTCTTGGTCGATGAAAGACGGTGGATAAGAAAGAGAGGGGAGGGGAGGGGAGGGTAGGGGCTGTCTCTTATACACATCTAGATGTGTATAAGAGACAGGTCCAAAG